GAAGCAAGCATGCCCACCGCCGCGGCGCTCGCAGCCGCACAGCCGAACGCGCCGTGGCCTAACCACTCGCCGCTGCCGCCGCCGCCGCCATCCTTCAGCGGCGTGCCCGCCCACCCGGGGGCAGAGACGGCCGCGGTCTCGGCGCTCTCCCACCCAGACGCCGACACGATCGTGGCGCCGCTGCCGTTCGATGCGCTCACCCAAAGCCTGCTTCCCGACGAGCCGGACCGGCTCTTCGGGACCGACGCCGACCGCGCGACCTCGGTGGTAGCTTCGGCGGCCGCGGCCGCGGTTGGGGGCGACCCGGCGCGGCTGATCACGGACGCGGCGATGGCGATGACCATGGCGCTCGCGTCATCGGCGCCCTTGCCGGTCTTTGTCACGGCTTCGATGTCGTCGGCCCGCCCTGCGGCGGCGGCGGTGGCACATCTCAAGCCCGACGTGCCTGTGGCGGCCGCGGCGCCCGCCGCTCCGCCCACCACGACCCAGGAGGACAGCGACGCGGGTGCTCCGGACGAGGAGGAGATCGCACGGCTCCAGGAATCGTCCGGATCCGACTTTGAGCCGCCCGCCCACGTCGAGGAGGAAGAAGACGATGAGGCCGCATCGGAGGACGCCACGTCCGAGACGGCGTCCCTCGCGACGCTGGATGGCGACGGCATCAGAACCGCCTCAGGGGGTGAGGCCCCGGCGCCCGAGACGCCGCGCCCTCGCCGCGGCCGCCGCGGCCCCGCTGGCGATGCGAAGCCGCTGCCGGCCCGCGGCACGACCGCCGACGCCGACGCCGCGGCAGATCCTGATGCCGACGGCCTAAGCCCGGGCGACCAGCGGCTCATTGAGGCGGCGTGCTTGACGCCCATGGCGGTGCGCTCGTTCAAGGACATGCAGACGCTCTGCCGCATTGCGGTCGCGCGGCTCGATCCCATCGAGGCCGGTGAGCATGCGGAGCACGTGGCGATGCTGACGCGGCTCGTGCTGATGCTCCTGTATGCGGCCGAGGCCGAGTCGGCGGGCTACAAGGATCCGACGCCCGCCGAGCGGCCGGCCTCCCCACGGCCGCGCGGCCGTGGGCGCGGCGCCCGAGGCGCCCGTGGCGCCCGTGGTGCCCGCGGAGGACGCGGCAGTCGCGGGGGCGCGAGAGGCGGCAAGCCGGTCATTACTCCCATCGCTGCCGTTGACGCTGCCGTCGCCGCCGTGCCGGAGGCGTCGGCAGCCGCGCCGCCCCCGGGGGCGGACCCGATGGCGATGAAGCGCGGAGACGCTGACTTCAGCGAAACCCTCGGCAACCTCACTTATACGTTGGTGACGGACCTCGGGGGCCGTGGACCGCCGGCGGTGCAAGTGCTCGAGATCGCCGGCCGCATTCTGTGCCCGTGGCCCCTGTGCTGCAAAGACTTCAGCCACTCAACAGGGCTCAAGTATCACTTAGCGACCTACATCCACGATCTGCAGGACGCCGCAATGGCCGTTCACGGCATCGCGACGCAGTATAACGGCACCGTGACGCGGCGGCAACTGCAGGCGATGCAGGTGCTCAACCTGCCCGACGCTGTGGCGCACAGCCTGCAACGGCTGCTGGGCCCGCTCAGGATTCCGATCGCCATCGCGTACCCGATTCGCGATGCCGCGCTGCTCTTTGGTACCGGCACCATCTCGACCTACCTGCAGCAGAAGCTGCCGTTTATACCGCCGCCGCTGCCGAGCCTCGCCGCCGAGGCGGAGAACGAGACCGAAGCAGCCGATGACTTTGTGGTCGACGACGCGGACCGGCCCCTCAGCCGGACGCCGTCGCGAACACCCTCACGAACGCCGTCGCGGAAACCCACTCCAACGGCACGGGCGCCGCGTCGTCAGACCTCCCGCTTTGCTAACATGTCTAGCACCGATAACGCCAAACGATTCGCGCAACAGTTCCTGGTGTGGCCGGCCTCGCATCTCCGGCGCGCCGAGCATATCACAGATACCGACGTCGACGGGCCCCCGGCGACTGCTGCGGCCGATGCGACGGCTACGGCGCCGCTGCCCGATGCGCCCGCGGTGCCCGTGCCGCCAGCGGACCGCGCCTCCTACCTGCCGCGGCCCGAACCGCGCCGAGTCGCCGCCGAGGCGGCCATCCTGCCCCAAACGCTGTCCAAGGCGCCCAAGACGGCCAAGAACGGCCCCCGCTCGCTTCAGAACCGTATGGGTCTGAGTGGCCGCGACGCCAGCGACACGAGCGACGGCGGGGCGGCGCCCATGACGCCGATCACGATCCCCTTCCTGCGCGCCGTCAGCTGCGCCACGCTCCCTCTGAGCCCGTGGATCGCCAATGTCGGGATTTGCGGTAAGACCCTCGCGTGGTGTCCCGACGACGTCAGCCCGCACGGGCCGCTGCTCGCCGTCGCCGGGTACCGCCTCGGGCTGGACGAGCATACCCGGATGGCGGCGCCGCAGACGGGTCCGTCCGAGTCGCTGCGCAACGCGGTCCAGATCTGGTGTGTGCGTGACCCGCCGGTTCTCGCGGCGGCGGTCGGCACCACGCACGGCCGCATCGTGCACGCCGTGTGGGCGCCGCACGGGGTCCGGGCCCGACACACCCGCGGCGCGGGGCTCCTGGCCGTGGCCGCCACCGACGGCACCGTGACGATCATGGAAGTGCCCGGCCTCGACGCCGCCATCGACGCCGCCATCGCTGCCGCGGCCACAGATGCCGCCATCGACGCCGCGGACGCGCCGCTCGTTCTCGCCGCGCCGCGGACGGTGTTCCAGGTCAAGCTCCCGACAGCCGTTCCCACCAAACTCGTGTGGAGCCAGCCGTCGCGGCTCGTGGTGGCCGGGAGCGACGGCTACCTGATGCTGTTCGATCTGAGTCCGATGCTGCTGGCGCTGGCGGTGGGCGCGCCGCCGCCCACGGCGACGCCGCCACGGCCGATGCTGTGGCTGCCGCGGCACGGGACGGCGATCCTGGATATGGCGCCCGTCGTGCTGCCGCTGCTGACGCCCGGGGACGCCGTGCCCGACAGCCACGTGGCACACGGCGCACGGCCGACGCTCGGCGTCGTGACGGCCGGCCTCGACGGGCAACTGCTGCTCACGCGGTGGGACGACCCGTGGTCCCCGCGCTGTCTGCAGAAGCACGGCCGTCCGGTCCCTAGCTGCAGCGCCCTCAACGTCGGCGCGAGCGATGCCCTGTTTGCCGCGGTCCCGCATATCGACATCCTGCAGGCGCCGCCGCCAAGTCCGATGCCTCGGATGGCGCCGACAGCGCCGGCGGCGGACTCGGCCACGGCCACGGCCACGGGCATGGCCGTCGAGACCCCGAGTCCCGAGACCGAGCTGGTGGTGTCGGTGGACACGCCGCCGCTGCCTCCGCCGCCTTCGGCGCCGCTCGACCCGGCACTGCCCGCGGTGCGGTCGCTGCTGCCACAGGTTGTGTACGGCTCGCACGAGCACCGCGTCGCGCTGACGACGATCGTGGCGCGCCCGATGGCGCCCGCGGACGATCGGTCCTGGTACCAAGAGCGCCGCGTGTTCGTCGTGGGCGACGCGTATCCGAACGAAGCGTGGGCGATCGATTCGTCGGTCTGGCTGCCCTTCATTGCCGCCGGCTGGGCCTCGGGCGCCCTCCTGGTCCGCAATGCGTACAACGTTCTGTTCCAGCGCAAGCCGACGCTCATCGATATGCAGGTCCTCTTCCACCTGCAGGGGAGGGTCGACGCCACGCGGACCACAGGCCCGACGGCTGCTACGAGCTCAACGGCGACTGCGGCATCCATCAACGGACCGCCGGCAGCAGCACCAGCAGCACCAGCAGCACCAGCAGCACCAGCAGCACCAGCAGCACCAGCAGCACCAGCACCAAAACCAGCATCCGTGTCAGTGCCGGCCGCGTCGGCCGGCCCTGCTGAGACGACCGGCCCTGCCGAGACGACCGGCCCTGCCGAGACGGTTGACCCTGCCGAGACGGTTGACCCTGCCGAGACGGCCGAGGTACCGTCCGTGTCGCTCGCGTCGACATTGTGGTTCTTCCGCAGCGGCGACGCGCTCAAGACGGGCGCGCTGAAAGCGCCGCACCGCGGCCCGCCGCCGCCGCACCGCACGCCGTGGACGCCCCAAGCTGAGGGCGCCATTCTTCACGATGTCAAATGGTGTCCCCGCCGCTCCCATGCGGGACTGCTCGCCTCCGTCACGGGCGCCGGCCTGCTGCGCATCGATCGCTTTTTCTAGAACCCATCGGGCCGACGGCGGCCGAGGAGGCCGCTGCCGAGCATACCGCGACCTCCCGGCCGCGATGCGATGGGTCGCTTCGGGCTTCAGGCGACATGCGCAGGTGCGGCATGGGATGGAGCAATCGGTGTACACAAATACAAATAGAAAAAGAAACCGAGAAACAGAAGACTTGAAAGCGTATCAGGAAAGCGTATCAGCCTGTCTGGTGGGATCCTATGCTACAGTCGTGCCAATGAATGGTATGATGGATGATGAACCCGATTTTTGGCGCATGGTGTCCTAACGTTCGTTGCCATTCGCCCCGTCGACCGGCGCGCGCTTGCGTGCCACATGGACCCCGTTGGGAGGAGCATCCGCCAGGCGTACTTTGCGGCGGCAAGCCCGTCCAGCACCTGTCTGCCGCTGGCTCCAGCACCTGGAACGCCACCTAGACGTTGCCATGTCACTAGCACTGAATAGATCGCTGCTGCGCTCTGCAAGCTCTAGTGACGGTCAGCCCGTGGAGCGGGGGCAGGGTTGACTGCAGAAGGTCGTATGCGATTCAGGATCTTGGTGCCACGGCAATGCTTCGAGCAAATCGGTGGACGACTTTACCTGGCCGCGCCTCTTGCAACCCATTCGTGAGCTGTGTCACACATTGCATCATGGCCCATTTGTGCGAGGGGCGGCTTGTTTAGCGACGGAGCCATGAGCTTAACACGACGTTCAAGATCGACTTTGTGGGAGGAGACCCTCCGTATCGACGGCTGGCCCCGTAAACACTTCGCGACCGAGCAACGTTGGTAGCCGCAGGGTCAATAGCGCAGTTTGGCAGCGCAATCGTTTCCTGAACGACAGGCCTCCGGTTCAAATCCGGATTGATCCGCAACGTTCTTTTACGCTTCAGTCTAAGGGGACGCTCGGCACTGGTTTTAGAGATGTCGGGGTCCTTCGCTGTCTAACCGCGGTGGGCCGATGGCCTTCGGAAGGGCAAAGTAGCTCGTCGTCGAGCAGACCGGAGCCAGACATGCCGTTGGGCCCATTCGATGCCGGTCAGCTATGGCCCTCCCGCACGTCAGGGGAGTGTGCTGCATATCGTCGTGTGCGAGGGTGATGTGCCTGGCCCATTGTTCAAGCGTCGCGGCAATCCCTTGTTGCCCACATCGGCTGCCAAGCTCGAGGTGATTCGCTCTCATCCGTGTCCCCACCCCTATCACCGCTCATCTCACCGGCCCGTCTCTGACGCCATAGTTCGGATTCTTGTCGCTGTGTGGTCACTTGCTGAGCGTACTTGACGCAAGCAATGAACGTGTGGATTGCTAACCATCATAAAATTGAAACATGAACTTCTGCCCATACCCTGTACATATTGGAAAACGGAAAGAAATGAACAGAAAAGCGTTCGGTGCGACAAACGCTCGAAGGATGCCGTGAACGAGGCAGGGGACCGTGGGTATGAGGCAACGTTCGCGGGCCGCCGTCTGACCCTATCGTGTCGCTAGGTATACTATACTATAGGTATACTATAGGTACAGCTTTGTTGGTCAACCACCTCTCCATTCAAAGATCCGCATCTCTTTGCAAATAGAGTACCTACAGCGCGATGGGAAAAAAAGAAAAAAAGAAAAGAAACATTTGAAAAAGAAAAAAAGAAAAAAAGAAAAAAAAAAAAAAAACAAGGGATGGCCGAGAGCCAGCCATCGCTGACCATATCTAAAAGGGCGGCATCGCTGTCGCCATGGCCGGAGCGAGATCGCGCGGACCACCATGAGCGAGGACACTTCCGCTCGGCATCGACCGGCGGTTCCGGATCGGGCCGGCCGCGCCCGGTTCGCCCGCCGCGCCGTCCGCGGGCGCATAGTAGTGGTGCGGGTGGTACGCCCCCGCCGCGGCCGATGATGCGGGCGGCGCCGTGCCCACCACGGACGGGTACACGAGTCCGGCGGGCGGGACCGTCAGGGCGGCGCCGGCGGCCGTGGCGGCGGCGCCGGCGCTAGAGTGGATACCGGCCGCCGCGGGGTCGGAATCGCCGGTGGCGCCCGGCATTGGCGGCGACGCGGGCGGGCCGCGAGCCGCATGGACAGCGCGTGGGCTGGCGCTGCGGCCGCGGTACGGATACGGATGGAGCCGTGTCGTGGCGCCGGCCGGCAGTACGCCGCTGCCACTGCCGGTGGCCACGAGCGGCGGCGCAGGGGTGGCGGCAGCGGCAGCAGCGGCGGCCGCAGCCGCGGCAGTGGACGCGGTGCTGCTAATGGAATGGACATGGCCGGCAGGTCCCGCGACATTCTGCCATGGCGGCGTGGAGGACGGAGCCGCGGCCGAGCCCGGCATGCTGCTAGAGCCGCCGGCATGGGGGTACGGATAGGTCGCATAGCCACTGACCAAGTGCGCCTGACCGTGGTGGCCGTGGAGCGGATGAGGTTGTTGGTGAGCGTGTGCGGGCGCCCGCGGGTAGTGGTACTGCGATGGCGGTGCCGAGCCCTGCGGCTGTTGCTGCTGATGCTGCTGATGCTGCTGATGCTGTTGATGCTGCTGATGCTGCTGATGCTGCATAATGGCGGCGAGATGCGGATCTGGATGTCCCTGGACCACATGGTAGGCTGACTGCGGCTGCTGGGGCTGCTGCGACGGCGCCGGCTGCGAGGCGGCCGGGCGGTGAGCCTGCGGATGGGCGGCGGCCGCAGCATGGGCGGCGGCGCTGACATGGTGCGCGTAGGCATGCGCGGTCTGCGGGGGCCCGTAAGCGACGACGCCCGGATGGGCGTGGTGCTCGTCGACGGCCATGGCGACATGGTGCTGCGACGACGGCGTGGGGACGGCGTGTCGCGAAGCGGCGGGCATGCCGTGGTGTGCCGAGCGATGGCCCATGGGTGACGCCACCGCGGTAGGCGGATCGGCGCGGTGGTCGTGCAAGCGCGGCCCCGCAGGCGACGCGGACGATGGGGTCGAGTGTGCACGTGCCAACGCCTGTTGTTGCTGTTGCTGTTGTTGTTGTTGCAACTGCTGATGATGATGATGAAATGACTGAGCATGCAAGGGATGCTGCTGGTGTTGGTGATGAGGCTGATGAGAATGTTGATGCTGATGCTGAAGGGGATGCTGTGGATGAGGCGCGTAAGTGGTCGGGTGGTGCGTAGCAGACGGCTGACTGAACGTCTGGCTGCGCTGAAGCGGTGCCGCATACTGGGGCGTGGTGGCGGTCGCCGTGGGTGCTGCTGCCGGTGCTGCTGCCGGTGCTGCTGCCGGTGCTGCTGCTGCTACTGCTACTGCTACTGCTGCTGCTGCTGCTGCTGCTGCTGCTGCTGTTGCTGTTGCCGGTGCTGTTGCCGGTGCTGTCGCGGGGTGCAAGGGTGCCGAGACAACGTCGACCAGCTGCACATGACCCTGGCCCGATGCCTGCAGCATCTGCTTGCGCTTGGCAAAGCGCAGCAGCCGGTCGCCAGCAAGCTGGAGTTCCTCGACGGTCACAAACAAGTTGAACCGCAGAATCTTGAGAAACTCGATTTCCAGATGGTTCAGCTCGGCGACAGGCAAGCCGCCGACCCGCGAGATGTGGTTGTTGGTGAAAAAGATGTCAGACAGAAACTTGACCGAGACCATGATCCCCGAGATCAGCAGACGGTGCACGTTGTAGGACGTCAGCACAAGGACGGGATACTTGGACATGACGAGCGGGTGCGGTTGCAGCGGGCGCAGCATCGGAAGCTGCTGCGGCTGCTGAACGTGCTGCGGCGGTCGGGGAGCGTCGGCCGCATGGATGCCACCTGAGGATCCCTGGGTCACGATGGCGGGGCGCAGATGGGACGCCGCGGCCGCTTGAGCCTGTGCAGGCGCAGGCGCGGCGCGGCCCGGGCGCGATGGATGGCCCGACGGCGAGGCGGTGCTGCCGGCGTGCGAAGCGGCGGATGTGGATCCGGCGGGCGACTCGAGCGACTCCGCCGTCTGCGGCGTGCGCGTGCCGTCCGAGGGCCTCCCGGCGCTCGCGGGCGTGGAGGCCAGCGAGGTCGACGACGAGGACGCGCCCGACGTGGTGGCGGACGGCGTCGATGCGCCGCTGACGGGCGCATGCCGCTGCGACGACACGCCGCTGATCCAGAGGTAGCCGTCGAGGGCGGCGGCGGCGGCGGCGAGCCGTGCTTTCTGGGTGCCGCCCGCCGCTGCGGCGGCGGCGGCGGCATCGGGCACGAGATCGCTGGCGGCGCTCGAGGCGGTGCTCGTGATCGCCGGCGTCGCGACGGCCGCGGACGCCGACGGCGTGGCGCCCCCGTGGCCGCCGTGGTGGTGGGCGGCAGCAGGACCGGAATGGGCGCCGTGGTGCGCGAGTGCGCGTGGCGCGTGCGCCGGCGACGCCATCAAGGAGGTTGCGGCGCTGCCGGACGGCAGGGGCGGCGAGGCTTTGCTGAGCGGCGTGTGCATCCCGGCAGCGGCCGCCGTCACAGACGTGGCCGACGAGGCCGGGCCGGCCGCGGCCCCGTGGGTCATCTCGGAAGCCGCGGAATCGGCATCGCGTCGCAGAGGCGCCGCAACAGCATGCTGCTGTTGCTGTTGTTGCTGTTGCTGTTGCTGCTGTTGCTGATGGCGATACTGATGCACGGGCAGGAACAGAGAGCCTGCAGCGCTACGTCCCTGAAACTTGGCCCAGGGATCGGCCATGCGCTCCAAGTAAATGAGCAGCGCGAGGAAAGCGTCGCTGGTGCAGGGCGCGTACTTGAGAATGCGCGCGAGGTAGCCGTGGATGTCGATGGTGGGGATCGTGCGTGCATGGAAGCGCGTCAGCGGCGACGCGGGCAGCGCGTCGTTGGCCTGCGTCACGCTCGCCAGGTACTGTGACAGCAAGTCGATGGTCTGCGTGGGCGTGACCGTCGTGAAGTCAAACGGCAGCGGGGGTATCGTCGTGTCCGGCGTCGCGGCGGCCGCAGCCGCGGGGCCGGCGTTCTCGGCGGACGTCATGGCAGCGTCGCCCCCACCGGGCTTGGTGACTGTGGCGGCGGCAGCGACCGCGGACGTGGGAGCGGTGGCCGTCGCGGCGGCGACCGGGCCGACGGCAGCACGTGCCGGCTCGGGCGCCGACGACGGCGCGGCCATGGCGGACGGCAGGATGGAGGGCGAGGGCTTGCGCCGGTGGCGGTGATGGGTCCTGTGACTGGCGTCGGCGTCGGCGCCGGAAGCGGCTGGTCAACCGCCGGCGTGACGGCAACGGCAGCGGGAGCGGCAGTGGCGACCAAGCAGGCGGCGACCCCGAAGGCAGCGGCAGAAACGGCGACAGGATCCAGAGAATCGCAGCAAGGAACACGGCGGCCTGGTGCTGCGTCGACCGTGGGGTGGGGGGAATGCCGGCAGCAACAAAGAAGCGGGGGCAACGACGCCGTTTGGATTTGGCGATGGGCCCCGAGGAAACAATCCCCGCGCGATGCGGAAAGCGACGAGACGAGACGCGGCGAGCGGACGACGGTAACCACAGCGACGGTAGAGACGGTGGCGATGGCAAAGGACGGCCAGGGGCGGCGGGGCTCGGCGCAGAGCGAGAGGACGCCAGAGAAGCGAGGTCACAGCCGCCAGCGCGTGACACAGCGTCCTAAAGCGTCACCCGGGGATGGGCACCAACCGCTGTGGGAGAGTGGTTTGCCAGGAACCGGTCGACGAAACCCAACAGAAGCAGGGAGCATGCAGGAGAAGTGCGTGGAGAGGAGGACAGGACATCCGCAGGTCGCGGTGGGGGGAAGGAGAAGGGCTGACGAGAGAGAAGACGCCCGCTGCCCGTGATGTTCGTCTGATACTCGCGAATCATTCGATGGGGTGTCCATCATCACCGTGGTGTTACGCGTCCCAGGCTCGCCACGGCCGCCTTGTCGCTGAATCGTTCCGATGTGTGTCGAGTGGAGTGAA